AAGATTTTGGCTACATCAGTATTCTACAGGGCAGGAAAATGACTTTTCAAACAGTAATGGTTGTCCTGAATCATTTGACATGGGGAATTTTTACATGTATCTCATTTACACATAATTAAAACCATTCCATATTTGAAATACCATTGCCCCCAGCTTATCCCAAAGATGTAGGTCATTCAGCCCACAGAGCTTACTTTTTTAAATGAATTGGGAATGTTAATGTATAGTGATTTCATCTTCGAAATCTTACATGGCCAACTTAACAAAGAGAAAATGCAGATCTATTGAAACCTCCCAGCCACCATTCTTGAGAATAACAAGGCATGCAATTTTGATTGTATCCTTTCTTATTTATTTTACTTAGTGGCTGGATGAAAAGTTATTTATTCTCTTTACAAGAGAAGATATGGCATAAGTGACCTAGCACTTATGGCCCTGATACCTTTTATTTCCAATGTTTGCATTGTTGGAACTGCATAATGGTATTGATTACCTTGGAAGTAATTCCACACAGGGTTTTTTCTTTTTTGAACAGGGTTCTTGACAATGGCTCTTTAATAGAGCTATATTTTCTTGGTACGATTCTTATTAGGCAACTTTCCCCCACTGATTACAGCATGTTCACAATAAAAGAAACAATTATGAATGAGGACCTCTTATCAGCTCTCTTTAAGGGCTCACTTTTTTCCAGATGGCAGAATGTCAACAAGAATTAGCCCTGACCTGGATAGCTCAGGCAGCCTGATCTTGTCAGTTCTCAGAAGCTAAGCAGGGCCGACCGTGGCAAGTACTTGGATGGGAGACCTTCAAGGAATACCAGGGCCAGGACACAGAGACAGGCAACAGCAAGCCACCTCTCTGAAACATCCAGGCCTCACTGTGGGTCGCCAGAAGTCAACCATGACTTCCACGTGCATGCACGCACACACACACACACACACACACACACACAAAATACTCACCCCCCCCCAAGAAATTGGAAAAAATAATAATTCGATAGTACTCGTAAAATAGAGTAATAATATTTATCATTTTGTAATAGGTGACTCTTTGACTCTCACCCCCATTTGCAATATGGCCTACTTTTCAAACTTGTTGTATAGGTTGCTGACATTAGCACTTTGAGCATACTCGGTGCATGCCTGGAGTAGTTTGGAAGCTGCCCCAGATGTCGCAATTCCCTCCAGAGTTCTGGCATAGCAGAACGCATTGGAACCAGTAGTTTCATTCATCCCTAGTTTCCCCCAGTAGTTAGTTGTATTGGCTTCTCTTATTACTGAAGGAGCCAGCAAACAGGTCTCCTAGCTGTGCTCAGTGTGAAGCATTTCGTCTCGTTGTCTCACTTGTGCTTACCAAGAAGTACTCTTTGCCAAGAAAGCCAAGTCTCGGAGAGGTGATTCTGGACACAGACAAGTAAAAAACAATGTACCCCCCAACAGCATCTCCAGGGATAAGATTTTTCAAGTTTGGCTTTAGCAAGAAAATGTAAAACTGGCTATGCTGGGAACCCCATGTGTGTAATATTAGCTAACTTGTAGAACCTGAGCCAAGTTATATATTTTATCAACTGCTGAGCCACAGTGAACAACACAGCTTCAAACGTAGGACAAAATGTCCCCTTCAAATCAACTGGCTCTTAAAAACACTTCCTTCTATGGCCAGTCCCCCAACAGCGACGGTGAGATGCTCCTTGCATTCAGTAAACCCCAGCTCATGGTCCCATGCATGCACGTGAAAGGAAGCAGGATCACACAAATAAAAACTTGCTAAGCTTTGCAGAATGGTTTGCTTTAATTGGTCAGAGAATCAAGACTGTGTAGGTGAGACAAAGAGATTGTGTTGATATGGAACGAAATACAGCATTGTGGTTTTACAAAATAACTGTACTAGTTTACAACATCTAAGTAAGGGCGACACATGCAAAAAATGGGATTCTGTAATATTGTTTGCTTGATACACAATATTCAGTATCTCATGACTGGTACTGTAGCAGTTTGTGTTGAATTTAGAGTTTTGTTCCTATTTTGTATTTGTCTTTCGGGGGACAATCATTAAGCAGTCAAAGCTTTCTCTGGGTCATTGTGTTCTACAGCCCATTAGCCACTGCCACACCTGGGTACTGCTTACTTGTTTCCTGAATTAATCTCCACTTCACAATCAGGATTACCCTTGAGTGGCCTCTGCCACACGGGAGGGGGGGATAGCACGGGCAAAGTGCGGCTTTCTAAAGCCGCACCAAAAGAGAGACGCAGCGGCGGGATCACATAGATCCCCTGAGCCGCCGCGCACTTCCTCCCCGGCATGATCAGATGCCAGGGGAAGCCACTAAAGAAAGAGCGCGACAGCCGAACTGCACATGTGTGTGCATGCGCAGTTTGGCGGGGAGCCTGGATTTATCCGGACGACGGGCGCGGCGGCAATCCCACAGCCGCGCTTGCAGCGGTGCTTCAGGTAAGTCCTCCTCTGTAGGAGGTTCTTTTTTGCAGCGGGTTTTCCGGGTTTAGGGACGGATCGGGGACAGGTACGCGCTGCTTCCCAGATGTTGCGGTGAGATCGCGCCCGTTTGCTGCGCCCCCGATCCATCCCTCTTCCGGGACAAAGTCTCCCGTGTGACCGGGGCCAGTGAATGTTTGTGGCCAAAGGAAGACGATGCTCATGAGACTCCATCTTCCAGAGATCAGTCAACCACACCTTCGCATGTCCATTAACTCTACCTTCCCTTGCTTTTGGGGCCCTGACACAGAATCAAAAAGAGAACTGTGGGGTCAGCACAGCCACATTTCTCACATGTTGAGACCAACAGATTTAGCCCTGCTAGACCTGCCCAGTATTCTCACTTGTTACTGTGGATGATAAAGAGAGAAATGAGCTAGAAGTGCCCAGGGAGAAAGGGTGTTTGAACAGAACAGAAAGGAATGAGTTTGGTTAGGAAGTGGGGAACTAAAAACTTGAGCATCCTTGCAGCTTCTCTTCTACACCAAACTGAGAGCCAGTTTGGTGTAATGATTAGGAGCAAGGTCTCTAATCTGGGAGAACTGGGTTTGATTCTCCACTCCTCCATGTGCAGCTGCTGGTGTGACCATGGGTCAGTTACAAGTTATTTCAGAGCTGTTTTCTCAGGACCAGTTCTTGAAAGAGCTCTCTCAGCCCCACCTACCTCACAGGCTCTGTTCCCTCTAAGCTGAGTTTTTTAGCCTCCGGCTCACACATTTTTGCCCTAGCTCAGGAAGGAGGGCTCCAGAGCAAAGTAATCTATGCAGCAGCCAAATCGCTCACTCACAACCTTAATGCCAGGAGCTCACAATGTAGATTTTTTGCTCACAAGACTCCACACCTTAGAGGGAACATTGCTCACAGGGTGTCTGTTGTGGGGATGGGAAGGGAAAGGAGATTGTAAACTGCTCTGAGACACCTTCAGGTAGTAAAGGACGGGGTATAAATCCAATCTCCTTCTCCTTCTTCCTCCTCCCCCTACTCCTCAACTGATTATAATATTTTCAGCTTGTTTGCTTAAAGCTACATGGCAGATATTGAAGACATGAAACTGCCTTATATGATTCAAATAAATTGAAGAAATAAATAAATACTTTGTCAGACCATTGGCCTATCAAGATCACTGTTATCTAGTCTATCTGGCAGTAAGCCTCCAGGGTCTTTCATGTCACCTACTATCCAGCGGTCATTTCCTCCATGAGTGCACAGAAGCAGAACTCCAGCAGTAAAGAGCCCAGGGGGCGGGCACATGCAACAAGCCCCACCCCCTGCTCCCAGCAGCCCTCAGTCAGAGCAAGAAGCAGCCAGATAAATTGCAGAGCCCCCCGGTCCCCTGGTCCAAAACAGTTCAGTGGCACCTTTAAGACCAAGTTTTATTCAGGTACAAGCTCTCCTTCCTCTGTGAGGGCAGATCTGCCCCCCCCCCCCAATGGCTAGCAATCCAAAACAGTCCAGTGGAGCCTGAGCGGTGGGTGTTGCCTTCTGGCACACTTCCGGTGATGTCAGGGGGTGTGTCATATGCAAATGAGTTATGCTAATGAGTTATACTAATGAGCTCCTGCACACCTTTTTCTGCGAAATGACCCCTGCTACTATCTGATCCTTTTAACTGGAGATGCTGGGGATTGAACCTGGAACTCCCTGCATGCAAGCAGAAGCTCTTCCACTACTGCAGCCCCAGTTTCTAAAGTTAATCCATCAAGTGTGCAGAAAATCCAAACTGACCATCACAGTGATCATTTTCATAAAACAACTGCACCAGGGATCTTTAGCTTTTTGGAACACTTCTTTAGTGGAGTTAATAAAGCTATTTTCACCCCATTCGTGGGTTATAGCACCAGTGGTGATGAATCAACTTTCTAAACATTTGTATCAACAGGCATTGCTTCCTGTGACACACAGCTGACACTGAGTCAGTCAACTCCTTGTGAATCCTTCATCCATCTGAGGTGATTTCCTCCGAAGAAGCTGTAACTGAAACATAGTGAAGGGGAAAGAATTATTTCAGGCTAGGAATTGCCCAAGAAACAATTAAATAGATTTTGGAAGCTGTTAAGATAATAGATGGATAGAGCAGGGAAAAGTAAAAAAGATACAGGACCAATGGGAATTATTGGCACATATCCAACCTTTGGCTCAAGGAGCTTCCTTCAGCCTAAAACGTTTTTCTCCAATGGAAATGGCTCTTCCTTGAGTTAAAGAGCAACTTGGAAGGAAGGTTCCTTGGCCTTGAGGAAAGCTCCTCAAGTTGTACAAAGCCTTAGGATTCCTCCAATGGAAGAGCCACTCGAGTTGAAGGGAACCTTCTTTGGCTGAAGGAGGGCTTCTTCCAACTTTGCTCAATAGACGAAGGAGATATGCCAGTATCATTTGAAAGAATCTGGCCATAGATGCACACAGAATAAAAGTTAGTGTGTATACAAATCCTTAGAGATGCATTTTTTAAAAAGAAAAACCCACACAATACAAAACTGCTGCTTCTAACCCGATGGTTTTTGCCTCTCTAGAGTAGAAGATGTTGCTGAAACAGAATCTCCTTCACAGCTGGATGATTTAAAATCCATTGTGAGTGGAAACGAAGAGGAAGAAAAGCTTCAGGTTAAAATACAGGCTTTTGAAGAGAAAATAAACCTTGACAACAGTACGCCTGGCTCTGTGCGCAGGTATAGCCTCGGCCAGGTTTCTAAAGAAGAAAGGAAAGACGTGAGATTTAACAGGTATAGTTCCTTGAAATGTGTCAGTGATTTTGCATGCTGATCAGTTTTCCTATACTGATCTAGCAAAACATTAAGGTGAACAGCCACATTACATAGTACCTGTGGGCATCAGGCATATAATTGTATCCAGACGTCTTGTCAATAACTCTGAGAGCTGGATAAGATCTCTATGAGTTATTTGTTTAACCTATCCTGTACCCCAGAGTGCAGTGGGAGATGCAAAAGAAACATTGTTGTGGATTTGAAAATCTCAGAAGCGTAGTTTGTAATGATTCTTTCGCCAATAGACTTTTTTTTTTTAAAACTATCAATATTATAGACTTGGCCACAGCAAATCTCTTTCCTCCCCCCCCCCCCGCGCTTTATTCTCCCTTAAAAGATGGTTTATTTGCCCTGACAAAGAATGAAAAATGAGCATGCAGTCATACATAAATATATAGTCCATTCACAGAAAATGAACATATGGCACAAATGCATCAAATAGTTAGTTAGCTCAAACCCAGCGTTACATGAATACTTAGCAATTTTACAGTTTTCCATTAAACAAGCAATACAGGAAGCCAAAATGTGAGTTCAAACTTGCATTCCCCATATGGGAAGATTTCTTGAAAAAGAGTTTTGATAGGAAAGCGCTGTTCAATCAACTGTATGCATTGTTAAGATGAGATGAAGATATTATATTTTTTTTAATAAATGGAGTTCTACTGAGATTATAGATGATGTAAATCATATAGACAAACTGTGGAAGGCTGGATTCAACAGTCATTAACTGCTGACGGAAGCACTTCCACCAGTGGAACAAAACTTTTCTGCCTTCCCCCTCTCCCTGCAGCCCATTGACCCTTGTGAACTGGATGGGGGGAGGGGAAAGGGAGGGTTTGCAGTGGGAAGCAAGAGTTGCCAAACATTGCCTTCTCTTCCACTGATAGGAAATGACCTTGGGATTTATCCCAGAGTGCAGAATTATTTAACTTTACCTAAGCTGTGTAGTTGACTTTTTCCTGGCACAACACGCTGTGATGTACACTTGAGAGAGTGCCTGAAAATGCGTCTGTAACTTGTATGATCCTCTAAATTCCATTCAGTGAATTTGTTAAATATGTATTTCTTTGTGCAGTTCAGTTTAGAGGTTTTTATAATGCTTGATTACATTGAATTTAAAAGTGCCAGGGCTGGCCCAGTCACTAGGCAAACTTAGGTAATTGCCTAGAATGCCAGGTTTTGAGGGGCACCAAAAAGTGAAGAGGAGCCTTATCTGCTGGCTTGAAGGAAAACTGGGCATTAAGTGGCCCCTACAGTCTCTGTATCTGAGGACTGGTTTTCTGTAGCTGACACAACAGAACATAGAGGGTTTTTGAAGACCTTATCCATTTTCATTTTTTTCATTGTTCATTTTGAATGCCCAGTAAGTAAAACCATTCTAGACTTCTCACTTCTCTCTCTCATAGTTCACTTAGGGTGCCAAAAAGCTTTAGACCACCCCTGGATACTGCGGTTAGACCGTTGGCTTTATCTTGTCTTGTAGCCAATATTCGTTGGTCTGTTCCAGAGTCTTCTAGGTCCCTGGTAGAAGTTTATCCTATTCTCTGAATATCTGCCACATATTTGTGAGGTCCCTGCTGGTCAAGGCTTGTCAGATGAAGATAGGGAAGATCTGGCCCTCTATGAAGCTGTTCCCTTTTTCAAGGATATGTTAGTCCTAACTAGGGATGAGCACAAACCTTTCCATGAATCTAATTTTGTCACAAATATGGTTCATGAGATGACATTGCCTATGAACCATCATGTTTTTTTACAGAGGTATGTTAGGTTCGTGGCAGCAGTTTGTGAGCCAGACATGCTGGTGCTGGTCAATTAATTGTCAAAGCAATGGAGGGGGGGACTTGGCATCACCAGCTGCCCTGGCTGTAGCTGCCAATCGACTTGGTTTTCCAGCTTGCCACCCTCTCCTGTGCCAGACTTCCCCCTTTTACACTTTGGCTCCTAAAATCCTTGACTTCTGCACCTCTGGGCACCCGCCCACCAGGCTTGGCATCACCAGCTGCCCTTGCTGTACCTGCCCATCAACTTGCTTTTTTAACTTGCCACCCCCTCCTGTGCTAGACCTCCCCCCCCTTTGTACTTTGGACCCTAACATCCTTGACTTCTGTGCCTCTGGGTACCCACCCACTGGGCTTGGCTTCACCAGCTAGCCTTGCTGTATTTGCCAATCAACTTGGTTTTTCAACTTGCCACCCCCCTCCCATGCTAGACTTCCTCCCCCCTTGTAGAGGGACATCCTGAGGAAGTCAACTGCGAGTTTGATGCCTCTGGCTTGCAGGGGGTCTGTTCTAATCAACACACTCCTGAACCTGTGTTGCTGTGATTTCCCCAGAGAGTACTTTCCTGGGGGGCACCTGATTTGGGGGGGGGTCCACTACTCACCCCCCAAGCCAATTTGCACACAATTTGGAGGGCAGGTAGAGGGACTTCCTGAGGAGGCTCTCTGTGAGTTTCATGCCTCTAGCTTGCAGGGGGACCATTTGACACACTCCTAAACCTGTGACTGGGATTTCCCCAGAGAGCACTTTCTGGGGGGCACCTGCTTTGGAGGGCTCTAACTCTCTCCCTAAACCCAATCCTCACCAAACTTGGATGACAGGTAGAGGAGTGTCAGCTGCAGATTCGCTGCAAGTTTGGCATCTCTAACCCATGGGGGGGCATTCTACTGCATCAGAACCCTCACGGAAAAAACAGTTAGGTAAACCAGAAGGTTCACGGTTCGTGAGACCCCACAAACTGTGATGAACCTCCATTTTCCCAGTTCATGCCCATCCATACTCCTAACTAAGGAGAGAGGCAAAAAAAGAGGCAAGCTGATGTCAGTTTCCGAAAGATACCCCAGACAGGAAAGAAGGGCAGGTAGTGAGAGTAGAGGGGCCACAGAAACAAGGAAAAGGGCTGCAAGGTCAGAAAGTGAAGCAGAACTGAGGAACAGAGTGTGTGAACTTTTTCTTTACACACACTAGTATGGTTTCTCCCTGATATTTAAAATTTTTATTTGCAGATATTTTTTTTTTACATTAGCACATATAAAACCTTCCCCCTGCTACCACCATTGCAGTCTGAAGTGGTACCTCTTCCACCCCAGGAATCTACAATCTCATTTTACAGCATGTGTAGACCGGGCTAAAGTATGCTAACAGGAAAGGGAAGTTCCATAACAGTAGAACAATGTAGCAGCTAATCACAGCCTCAAAAGTGGAACACGACAGAGAAAAACTAGTTGGCGGCAAGGAGGCCAATGTTGTTCCAAACTATGCAGTCCATGTGTGCAGACAGTAGAAAGAGCATTACTGTTTGGTTCCTTTCTAGTGAGTAAGGTTGCCAACAGTCTCAGGGGGGGATATCCTGCCCCTTTAAAAGAGGCATAGGAAAAGGCAGTTGGAGCTTTTCATGACATGGAGGTAAACCTTGACATCGGCCCCGGTCACACGGGCCGGATATCGCAGGGGGGAGGCATGGCTAATTGCCCCGGTGCAGTTTGATCCACAATTACACGATCAGACGTGCCGACGGCACACCACCAGTCCTTCCCTCGGTGCCGGCGGGTAAACGAGGGACCAGAGGGGAATTCCGCACGCCGGCGCGATCACATCACGGGTGTTTGGAGGCAGCCCATGGCAAACATTTACTAGTACCTTGGAGGTACTAGTTTTTTAACACGCATTGTCGGTGGTAAGCCACGGGTGCGCTCCACTTCCCTGATGTTGGGGTGTGATCACGCCCGGATAATCCACGCACCATCCGTCCCTCTCCCGCGGCAACTTTGCCGTGTGACCGGGGTCATCTTCTAGTAAATTGCAACCCATCAAGCATCTGTTAGGGAACAGGGCATTTTTTCCCCTCCAGCTTGATGGTAACCCTACCATGGAAATACCTACTGCTCTCTTGGAAGGCTGTGCCTTGTTCCCATTGACTTCTTACTGAATGGCCTTTGATGATTCTGGCAAGCCTTTTTATTAATTCGTAGTGATATTGGATGGCTACTGGGTTAGTGCCTTCAAGTTCAGCGTCCGGCTTTCGAAAGCTTGCTGCAGTGAGGGGGGGGGGCTATCAGAGGGCAATACCAAAATTTGCCAGGTACATCCCAATTGATTCCTTGGCAGAGTTCCATGGAAATGTTAGTTTACGTTCTCAGTCTGAATCTTCAGTAACTTCAGTAAATTTGAGACCAGTAGCACCTTAAAGACCAACAAAGTTTTCTACTTTTTGTGAGTCAAAGCGCTCTTTGTCAAATAGTATCTGCCACACATCTAAGTGAATATTGATTTGTGAAAGTGTATACCCTGGAAAACTTTGTTTAATTTTTAAGATGCTACTGGACTCAAATTTTGTTCTGTTACTGAAGACTAAATGGCTACCCACCTGATTAGTTTATAATAGCACCCAAGTGCTTTCTTGAATTTTTTGCATGCATGAAACCTTTAATTTGCAGTGATGGGAGTATATTTACTTTTGTTAAGTCTAATTAATTGTGCATGGCCTGAATTGAACGTTAATTGGTATTTTATTATTTGGGTAGGCTGCATAAGTTGAATTCAGATGTTGTTGAATGATTGATGGCATAACAAATTGTATTTGGTTGTTTTGTTTAATTAGCAAGTTTAGCAATGCAGTCCTATGCAAAGCTGCAACCTTCTAAAACAATTGAATTTTATGGGTTTAGGAATGTGCAACTCCCCTTAGGATGTCACTGGGAAATTACTTATGGATGCTAAAAGTTTAGTTTTCCAACCAAATATCTGTTCAATCTAAATATAAGTCTAGTCTGATCCAAAATGTACTGATAGCAATTACATTTGAAAAAATATATAAATATTTGTGTCTAAATTTGGCATTGACAAAACATTATGAGAAATCCAAACTGTATATGGAAAGATAGAGTTCAAAAATAAATTGGAAAATAAACTTGTTGATAGTGGTAAAACTAGAACAGCAAAAAGAATTCCTCCTATGTGGGAATGATTATTACATTTCTTAACTGTATAAGATGAAGATTTGGAAAGTACGGTACGTATAAATGATTTGTTAGCTGAGGTGGGCATGGATATCTTCTTACCTTTGAGAGAAAACTGATAATTTCTTAATTAATTCAGCAGACAGAGGAAATTGGGGAGGGCACATGGTTCAGTGGTAGAGTTTTACTTTTTATGCAGAATGTCCTGGGTTCAATCCCTAGCACCTCCAGTTACAAGGACTGGGTGAGAGGTAATGTGAAAGACCTCAGCCTGAGACCCTGGAGAGTGGCTATCAATCATTGGCCCCTGCCACACGGCAGAGAAAACACAGTGAAAAGCGTGGCTTTTAAAAGCCGCACCAAAGTTGCGACGCTGCGGCGGGATCCCATGGATCCCCGAAGCCATGGTGCGTCGCTCCCCAGCACGATCAGATGCTGGGGAGGAAGAGTCGGAGGGAAGGGGGAGGCTGCCGAACTGCGCATGCTCAAGCATGCGCAGTTCGGCTGGGGGCTGGGATGTGCCGGCGCAAGGACGCGCCGGCCGATCCCACGGCCGGTTTGAGGCGCTCTACTTCTGAAGAACCACCCAGGTAGGTGGTTCTTTTTAGTGCGGGTTTTCGGGCAGGAGGGACGGATCGGGGACGGGCAGGCAACGATTCCCAGATGTTGCCGTGGGATCACGCCCGTTTGCTCCGCCCCCGTTCTGTCTCGCTCCCGGACCAAAACCCCTCGTATGAACAGGGCCTGAGTAGACAATACTGACTTCGATGGACCAATGGTCTGATTCAGTATAAGGCAGCTTCCTGTGTGTTCATGTGAGAGGATTCAGTATTTAGACTGAAATCTTTTCTATTGGTTGAGAAAACATGCCAGACAGGATTTGCAGTAAATAGCTGATATAATGCATAGTTGAAGCCTCATCTGATGACTGATAATCCTTAGTTAATGTGCTATCAGATGTAAAGAATGAATGCTTTAGGAAAGAATAGCTAAAATAGATATAACTTAAGCTGATATTTTGTATGGTGATTATGAAAGGTTCCTTCTATGCAGCAGCAAGCATTGACGTGGTCTGCTAGTGAGAAGGACCAGCTTTCTACTGTGAGGGTGACTGAAGGCAGAGGAATGGGATTCCCACCCTTACCAGCAGTGTTCCCTCTAAACTGAGTTAGTGTGAGCTAGTTCAAAGTTTTTTAGCCTCCGGCTTACACATTTTTGTCTTAGCTCAGGAAGGAGGGCTCCAGAGCAAACTAATTTATGCAGTAGCCCAATCGCCCACTCACAACTTTAATGCTAGTAGCTCAAAATGTAGAATTTTTCCTCACAAGACTTCACAGCTTAGAGGGAGCATTGCTTACCAGAAACAATTGTGATATAGCAGTGGAGTCAAGGAGTGCCCATAGCCTCTGAAAGTGTGCAATTCCTGACCTGTAAGCTGCCCCCGGGAGGGGTACGTGTTACTGGCTTATGTGGCATTCCCCTTTGTAGGTGACAGAGCAACACATTTGGATCACCATTCCTATAACAGAGCAGCTTCAGAGATACTGCAGCGAACACAATCTGGCCCAAAGATCTGAATTTTCTCCCCATACATCCCAGAACATTTTTCTCTCCCCCAACCAATTTATCCCTGCCTTTCTCCACACTGCAGGTCCAAAAGCCTGGCTTTCCATGCTGTTCAGATGAAGAGCATTCATTCAGACAATGGGCAAGAGATGGAGAGTGGAGATGTTACAGGAGGCATGTCTTTCACAGATACCTTTTTGAGCCAGGAAAGTGACAAATTGCCTTCAGCTGCAGGCACTGAAGAGCCACAGCTGGAAAATGCTTTACTTTCACACCCAAGTATCAAATGTATAGAATCAGAGAATCCGCCAGAACCTGTTAAAGAAAACTGCTATGAGGGGAGCCCGAAGACAACAAAGCAACCTGTGGAATATCAAGATAAGCTTTACTTTCACTTAAAGGAAAATCTCTCTAAAGTGAAAGCATATGTTCTGGAGATGGGGAGGAAAATTCCACTCCCAGATGAATGTGTTATTGAAGGTAAGAGGCCTGAAACTTTGAAATAATGGAAGTATTAAAAACATTTTAGGACTCTCATATAAGCTGTCAACCAGTCTCCTCCAAGCAAAAGCTCTTTACACCACCTGAAACATGTATTCCCATAATGATGTCATCTTAAGAGGCATTGCTTTGAGATTTCCTTTTGCCGCTCTGTTGTTTCTGTTCTGCACTATGTTTTGTCCCCAGGAAGACCCATTTGCTGCCCTTGCACGCTGGCTGTAATCTCTCAGTAATACTGAAGGATGCACTAAGTGTGCTCAATGGTCTTGGGGTCCTTTTCATGTCCCTTGTGGATTCACCAGTGCATTACTGACATGTGTTGACATGGGATGACAGGTGTTGTTTTTTCCCCTTCCCAGTGAGTTGAAGGTGGCTTGAAGGGGGGATTATTGTGTGTATATTTTATGCTACTTTTGTCTCTGGTAAACAAGTTTCATAGATTTTTGTATTGTTCCCAAATCCTGCAAAACCTGTTTACCAGAGGCAACCATGGGATAATGTGTTTACACTCTGTTTACACCCCTTTCAGGTATCTTAGAAGTTATTGACTTTTCCAGCTTAAGGGCAATGATACATAAAGATGCCCAAAAGAAGCAGTTCAACTTTATAACCTATGTTAAGACTCTGATAGCAACAGGGGGGATGACACTCTTAAGCAATGCTGAAGGCATTCCCCTTCACAATGTTTTGATATTAGGATATCCCGATGAAAATTGTAGTCCCCAGTTCTGCTGTCTTTAGAGACATAGTTAGGTATTAGAGAGCCATGGGTCAAAAAATAGCTAAGCTGTGAACTCAGCAATGCAGACAGGTTGTTCAGTCAAGTTGTCTGGGGTGTCATGTGAATGCCCCAGTGGGGAACATGTTAGTACCTTGCGGGGGTCATGTGGGGGGGGGGACGCGGGGGGCCGCCATCCCCCCGGGTGAGGTGCGGGAGGGCGGGGCCTGGAGCTCCCTGCTGGTGCCCGCTGGAGGTCGCCGCCGGCTGTGGGGAGGACACACTTCCGGTGATGTCAGGGGGTGTGGCATATGCTAATGAGTTATGCTAATGAGTCCCCCTAGCTCTTTTTCTACGAAATGACCCCTGGTACCTTGGAAGACATGGACTTCATCTGGTAGCAGCCCTTAGGAACTCTGGGTTTTTCTGCATTCTCATTTTCCTTGCTTGTAAGACCTGTTTCTTGGGGGGGGGGTTGGTTCTGCACATGGTCAATGTGATATTACACCAGCGTGGCAGCTTCTTCTCAGGTACACAGGCAGTCCTTCATGTTCTCTGCTCAGCAAGCCTTCACCCCTTGATCTTTACCTTTTTTCTTTCCTTCTGGAGAAACTTTTGTCCTACACCTCAGCGTGTTCTGGGACAAAAAAATTGCACTGGTGGCACCGCGATACTTCCGGCTTGGCTGTCTTGGTTGGACCAGCTATGGTGTAGAGCTGCTGGAGAGCCCAAAGCAGCATGATTCCTGTCCTGATATGGGGACAGTGTATTTGTTTTGAATGATGGGAAAAGAGATTGGTTGTGAAAAACTGAGACCCAAAGTCATCTTGGGGGTTTATTCCATTAGAACATTTTTTCCATTACTTTTGTTCCTCCAAGTTATTTGCGCTATGTAATTAAGTCTATTCTAGCTGATATAGTCATCATGGGGAGATCTCATTTTTCACAGGAAGTATCTGTTAATTTTTAAGAGTTACCATGTGCATTGGAGTGTTGATTTCCTTGCCTTTCCTTTTGTTCCCTTAGAAGCTCATTGATTTACAAATCTTGAGCAACAGAAAAAAATGTCGTCTTCATTTTTTGGGTGCAAGGGATAAAAGGACTGAAATAAATTTTGTTACCACCAAATTAATCTTAGGATCATTGTCTCTAAGCAGATAAAACAGAGGTTCCAAAGTATAAGGTACTGCCTGATCCATAATAGGTGGCTTAATATACAAATCCCTAATAGTCTAAAAAAAACCCCAAAACAACAGCATTTAAGCAGAACGTGGAACAATGTGTCAATTTTATTAAGGCCACAGGGACAGATTGTGTGTCAGAATAAGGCACACTCAATAATCTTTCTTGTAGAAACTTGGAGGGTGAACAACGAGCTCTGAATAACAGACTTCCATCATCAGTTCCCAAAACTCACCTTTTAATTAGAGAAAAGGAGTGTTGATTTGGTAGCTTGCCACTTGAGGAATCTACCTCAAAATTCTATCATGATTTCACGTGATTTTTTGCTTTATGGTATTCTGAATGTTGCATTATTCTCCAGAGAAGTTGCTGCTGGCCATCAGTGTATCTAATTCTCAGTGTGGTCCCGTCTGTGGATACTTAAATTCAGAAATTGGAGCCATGGACAGACAAAAATGATCTTTCTACAAACCAGAGGAAAGCCCCAGGTTTGCAGAAAGGTTTGGAACAAAATATATTGTGGGTTTAAAAAACTGCAAAATAATGGAAGCAGTGCCTGTAGCTTTAAGAAACTAATACCCTTTGTGGCCATTGCTAGGCATTCACAGCAGCATTGCTAACCTTCCAGCCTTCCTTTCTGTCAATAAATGGTGGGAGGAGAGGAGGACGGAGGATTCTTTCCTGGGCTGTTTTGATCTTTGAAGGAGGGCTCATTGGGGCCTGGCCTGGCAGCAGGTACTAGTGCTACCACTGCCACCTAACTAGCATGACTCATTTAGGCCCTGCTGCTTACTACTATTCAACAGCAGCCACCCCATGAAATCCAGTGCTTTATAGTGGTTAGAGTTTCAGACTAGGATCTGCCATGGAAGCTCATTGGGTGACCTTGGGCCAGATACATATTCTCAGCATAATTTCCCTCACAGGGTTGTTTTGAGGGGGGGGAACCGAAAAGAGGAAAATAGTGCTTTGGGTTATTGTGGAGAAACGTGGGTTACAAAGGAAGTAAATAAATATTATATACAGCTGAAGGGAGGCAGATAAAAAAATGTATGTGGGTGAGAGGGAAGAAGACAAGCATGGAAAGCTGAGGATATGGGAATTGCCAGGAAGAAGAAAAGAGGAAATAGGATGGGGAGGGGGATACAGATGAAACCAAGGAGCCGCCACTACCATCACTATTGTCCATCTTAACCTGGCCCTGGAAGAGGGAACATCAGTGGTTCCTGGAGCAGATGATGCTGAGGAATAGAGCAGTGAAATACACCAGCTTGCGAAATAACATCTAGAGCACTTTATTTAGTAATTGGTTAATGTGATTTTATTTGTACTGTAGTGATCTTAAATGATTTGAAATATGTTTTATATTGGCGCAGGCCTCTTTGTAAGTTGCCCTGAGCCCGCGCAGCGGGGAGGGCGGGGTATAAATTGAATGAAATGAATAAAATAAATAAGGTGCCCTCCAAGTCCTTGCAGGTTCTCCACTGCTCAACTGGACCTGGCTCTATGTCCAGCACCACTCAACTGGGCCCAGTCCAGTCCAGCTAGACCTTAATAAAGCCCAATGGCCAGTACTAGGCAAATGTGCCTGGCCTGGTGACTAGCAGCCAGAACCACACAGTGTTTTTCCAAGGAGAGGCTACTAGGGGGAGGGAAGGGAAGGAAAGCTGAAGGCAGATAAAGGTGAGTTGGTTGGTAGATGGGAAGGAGAGAAAGAAGCAGGAAAGGGAGAAAAGCTATAGGGGTTTTCAGGAAGAAAGAGGAAACAGTGTGAGTGGAGAGAATAGGATGCCCCCTCTGAGTCCCCCACTTGTAGAGTTCTGATTCCAAACCATTTGAAAGAATGAAGATTATCCAGCTGTCTGTATGTCTGTGTTCTTTCAAAGGGCTGACATCTACAAGTTCCTCTAGACAGCTTTCAGTGACTTATGGGATAAGAAACCTCCAAAGTTCTGAGAGAAGGGATGCTGGGAAACATACTGCCATGGGGAAGTTTGTTTAAATAAGTCCTTTACATCATGCAATATGGATTCATGCTTGCACAATCAACATTCATTGCAAGTGACTATGCCGGTCACATCATCAGCTTGGACCAGGGGGAGCTATATAGTGTAGACCAGGCCTTAGACAGACCTGACTCTGGTGAGGTCAGTAGGAAATGCAGAAGCTGCTATTATGTCCCTCTTTGGCAGTCAGTTTCTGTATATAGGGTTACCAGATCCAGTGAGAAACTCCTGGAGGTTTGGGGATGGAGCCTGAAGAGGACAGGGATCTCAGTGGGGTACAAGGCCATAAAGTCCACCCTCCAAAACATCCATCTTCTCCAGGGGAACAGATGAGCTGTAGTTCTGGGGAATCCCCAGGTCCCACCTGGAGGCTAGCATCCCTGTCTGGGTTGTTAGCCAAATTGCCTTGAATTCTTAATTAATATTGGGGAAGTTATGTTTATTAATTGGCAATAGGCAAATTAGGGAGCAAACACCATTGTATTCAGAAGTCCCACCTTTACTGTACTTACCAGAACAGACACAGAGATTGTAATTGGTAAAATATAATGTCCTTTACTGAAGGAGATATATCATTCAAACAATACACAAGCACACACACACTTATACAGATTCTAGGAAATAAAGATAGATAATAAGCACGTTTGCATTAGCAGGATATTCATTGATTGGGCAATAGTTACATGTCCTTGCTGATTGAGTTGTTCCATTGGAAGAATGGAGGGGTTAAGAATAGAAAATGGGAAACACGTGCTCTGAACTGGCAGAACCGCGTGGACTCTAGCTGCAGATCTAGAGTTTAAAGATGGAGATAGGGTGTTTGGATATCAAGCGGGACATAAGAGGGTTAAAGCTTCGATAGGGGTCGTGGAGAGGTAGAGAGAGAGACCATGTGGTCGGGTAGCACCTTTTATAATGTGGTGAGGGGGCAGGCTAGGCTGGCCACATCCCCCTGTGACACCTCCTGTTAGTCCGTCCCATAAAACATATTATTGGTTGGAAGGAAAGGGGGAGGAGAGCTAGGGGTTGGTCAATATTGAGAGCTAGTAACTTAATCTAGGGACTTGCACCTG